GGCCGTTGCCAGGGCGGGAAGGGCAGGGGTGCAGCCGCGTGTGGGGGTAGTCTGCTCTTGAACCGTTAAACGGCTTTTAGCGCTGAACCTCAGGAGAAGGCACCTTGGGGGAGCGGTATGCCCCGAGTGAAAGGACCTTGCTGCGCCGAGTAGTCCTTATAGGCAAAAATGTAACCCCCACTCGAGGTAGCGAAATCCTAAATAATAAGATAAATAGGTGCGAAATATAGAAACAGGAGTGACTATGTCTTCAAACATATGACCTCAAACCACACAGGCGTGAATATGCGTTAACTGCTCCTCCTATAGAGTCAAAATCAATGTTGAAGCATGTGCTGATACCAGGGCTATAGCAGGGTTTTAGGACATGGCTTGATGACACATAGGGTTTGACCCTGCCTGTGGTGAAGTGTTAGGTTGCTCCATGAGTAAAACTGTATTTTAATGTAAGCTTTAATTTTTTCTATAACCTGTTGTCTCTAGAAATCAGGCTTTTAAGAGAAACATCAAGCAGGGGATGTAATAGGTTTATAATACTACTCTGGAGTTGGTGACAGTGTAGCAATTTCATAACCTTTCCCTGTTAACATTTTGAGTTAATATTACAGCTATAAATTCAAAACTCTGATTGATTTGTAGGTACTCTTCTAGTAGTACACCTCAAGAGAAGACTGTGGAAGCCTCAGAAGGTATGACATTTTAATTACTAGTTTCTTGTGTTTGTTTTTACGTCTCTACGCAGCATAGCCTGTCATGAGAGAAAGAGGACATAGAAGGCCCTCCTTCCCCTTCCTCACTTCTCTTCCCTGATCTTTGAGCAAAAGATTTCCTGGCTTAACTTGCTTGGTGACCCTCACCATCAGTTCTGTGCTTAGCTTTGTGAGAAGATGTGACCCCGTTCTTGTTCCTCCTAAATAGGCTTCTGCCATACTACCTTTTCTTGTGAGGATACTCTCCAGCAAATTAAGAGCTCATCTTTGTCCCATCTAATCTCACCTCACCAAACCTATGGCGTCGTTTTTGAGAATGACTGTACCAAATCAGACTAAAAATCTGTCTCGCACAGTAGCAAGAAGCAGATGTCTACCAAAGTGTAAAAATCAGGCATACTATCCTCAGCGGCTGGTAGCCAGAGAACTTACTGAGCCGGAGGTGTTCTTATGCGCTTAGTAGTGTTGAATGAATCTGTTTTGAATGAATTTTCCAGTTGCTTTTTGAAGCTGTAGAAACTTTCGATAGCCGCAGCTTCTGCTAGCAAAGAGTTTCCCACCTTAACATGTGACAGTTTCTTTCACACTCTTACTTCTGCTCCATACCCCATACTGTAATTCTACTGGAAGTTTTGTGGAAGAATAAAATGGGACATTTGGAGCAGTGCTGCACATGGAAACAAGTTACTGCCAGTCAGTAACAGCTCATGGAAGCGCCGGTACAGAGGCAACAGGAAAAGTACCTCTGCAGACCCTGGATCTGGGGGCTGTAACCAGGAGTTCCTACGTGTTCCTTTTAAGTGGTCTGTACACTGTCAGTGGTGTGCTTGCTGTAGACCTGTAGGGATTTTTCCCCACTCTGTATCCTTATTTTAATTATCACTGTCTTCTGTGAAGGGATTTACTAACAGGCTTTGCTAACAACTTCTAGCTTCTTCTTTGGCAGTGTCCTTTTTCTTTTTCTCTCCTGTGGTAAAGCTGGGAAGACTGATTCTTGTGGCTGAAAGAAGTTAGCATTTGGTGTCAGGGCATAGGAGCAGGAATTTGGGAGGGCGCAGTGTAGCAGTACTCGGGCAGGCTGAACTGGAAGAAGCAAACAGGCAAAGGCAACCAACTTTGAACTAGGGAACTAAGAATAGGAGAGTGAGGAGCTGCGAAAGATTGGGGCTCAAGCTGGAAGATCTGAGAATAAGGATAACTGAGGAAACCTGGATGGGTAAATGGGTGTAATCTCTTTGATGTGGAAAGGATTATTTGGCACAGACTGACTCCATCTGGACACAGGACTGCTAGTCTTCCCATCAGCCTTTTTCTTATTAACATTGTAATAAGTTGTGGTCTACATCAGACTGCGATTTTAAAATCTATACTTAATACTTTTATCTGTGTTGTCTTAAATGAGGGATTTTCACGAAGTTAATATATTTTCTTCCTAATAATGATTTTAATGTTGTTTCTTACAGTTACTCGAGAAGAAATTGTGCTTCCACGAAGGAAAACCTGGTAAGTGTTAGTTTATTGTTGGAAAATATCTTGACCTGGAAAAAATTGTCGGAAAGCTAAATGCAATCTGTTTATGCATAAAGCTGGAATGTGGATGTACCAGAAACAGCCCTGCATTACTGCCTGCTGCAAGTGCGTTTTCTCTAAGGGGGAACAGATATGCTCTGTGGTGTTTGTCTTGTTTATATATAATTAGTATTTCACTTGACAGTGTATTGCAAAATTGAAAAAGAAAATTCAAGTTGCTGTAATCCTGGATTTAGTGTCCCATTAGTGGTTTCCCCTCTGACTGGGATCTCTGGGAATATTCTTAACTCTTCCTTTCTGTGGAATGTGTGCACACTTCACTCCTGACCTTTCTTTTAAAAATGGTTTTGAACACTGCAATTTTAAGCATAGAAAGATCACATTCACTAGAAATCTTTAAAAATGAGTCCATTTGACTCTCTACCTCTAGTTATGTTTTGTTCAGCGAAATCAGCTTGACCTGTTGAATAAAATCCTTTCCAGAAATGACGCAGCTGAACCAGAACAATTTTGTTAGGATTGTCCTGATGTTCTGAAGTGCTTAAGATGAAATCAGATGATTACACAGAAAAACTAAATTTATAGCCAAACGGTGCCTTTATGTACACCCAAGATAAGATGACCTTCAGCCTGAAGCCTTGGGGTTTTCCCTTTCAGTATTCTTGTTTATACGCATCTGTTGTCTGCCAGAACAGGACACTAATTTGTAGTGAGTGTTAGCTGGGGGAAAAATGCTAAGTAACTGCCTCCTGAAACACTCTGTGTTTTGTGTACTTTCGTGTGTTTAGTTTCCAAAGATGATCCATCCATATGAAGTAATTCAGTTGTCTGATTCTATTAGGGCTGTACAAACAGCTTATTTAATTTTAGGCTCATTTCACCTCGGCATTTCTTAGGATCTGTCCATGGTTCTGTTTTTATTATTAACTTAACCTTGTAAATGGCTGTGAAAATTGATGGTAACGTAGTAGCCTGCTGTTTTGTTAACACCTTCTGACTACTCAAGATGTTGTGTAATATTCTTTGTCTCTTTTTTTCTCCTGGGTAAATGACTGCATTCTCAAGACTTTCAGAGGCCTGGTCACTGTTTGTCTGAAACACAGCCAAAGTCTTAAGAATCTGCAGGCACAGGAGCCTGGAGAAATCTAGCTGTGTATACTGTATAACAAAGGCAGTGGTGGCAGCAGGAAACATCACGTTTTTTAGGCTTTCCTCAAAGACTTAATCCCTTACTTGGTTTGCGTCAAATGTAACGCACAAATTCAAAGGCTGCAACCCAGTGTTAATCAAAGCTCCTTTACTTTTAGGGATAAGCTAGCGGTTCTTCAAGCACTGGCTTCTACAGTGAACAGGGTAAGTAGTTCTGTTAAGATCATGCAAGTAGGCTGAGTTTTCCATCTCACGTGTTGGACTGTCACTGAAAAGGATCTGATTTCTGCCTTGACCATAAAAGAAAAATGGAACTTTTACACCAGATTGCACAGGGTTTTTACTTTCGCTTAGCGCTCTTTGCTGTGTCCTTTAAGCCTCGTTCTAATACTAAACAAAAGCTGCAACGACATTGCAATACAGTGAAAGCTGTAATATATTGGTAGGGTTTTTGCTAAAAACAAGAGTAAGTTCCTTTGCCAGTTCAGTTTCCCAATCCAGACTGCTTCTGCCCAGTCTCAGTCTAGAACTCCCAGCTTGCAAGGAGCAGGCAGGCTCTATTTTTTGTCAGGCCAAAGGGTGTGAATGCCGGTGCCATTCTTTAATACTGGACCACTGTTACAAGATGAGTCTGTGCCATGCTTGTAGTTTGATTTTGTTTTTTTGTAACTTTTGAAGGTAAGGAAAAAGATCTTTATCTCGGCTAACATCATTTTAGCTTTCAAAGAATGCTAGTTTCCCCTGGCCTTGGAACCTCACACATGAGGTGATTCAGTTGTCTGATTCTGTTATCTTCAGTAATCAAAAATCTGTGTAAGTGCTAGTTACTAGACGTCCTAAGTCCTCAAAACACAGTAGATCATCCTTCTCTTTGATGTTATTATTAATTTAAGTCACATGGAAAACACTACTTTAGATCTTTATAATGACACTCAGGTATATCTTACTAATGACAGTGAGTAATCCAGGGCGGTTAGTTGGCCTTACCGTGTGGTGCTGGCTCTGCGTTGGGGCAATTAACTATTCAAGGATGGTAGAGGAAAGCATGCAGCGTGAGTAAGAAAGATTGGATTTCATGATGTTCTGCCCAGAGCAGAGTAAACTCGGGATGTTATTTTGATCTGATAGTTTCTCCATCCCTTTGCTGTGATGTGAAATGACTCTTGGGGATAGAGAAACAGAACTTGATCTTTTTAATTAGCCTGCTGTTTGCATCCCTTAAGAGTTGAACTGCCACTAGATTTTTGACTTAGGGTATTGCAGAGCAATGTGCAGAAATGTCTGTCTGGAATTCTGGAAATTGGCGCTGATCCTGCAAGCCCCCTCTGCTCCGCCAAGCCTATGGTAGTTGGGGGCCCTATTTGCTTTGCAGGGCACACATCGTTTATCGTGTTACAGTAATGACCCTTTTGTGATCGTTATATTAGCCTGCATGTGTGTGTGAGCGTGCAAAGAAAGTTCTCTTAAAGCCAATTCCAAACAGACTAACTGATTTTTGAACAAGTGGGTATTTTTGTAAAATGGACATCAGGTTGTGGCTAGGATGCTTGTTCGTTGCGCCTTGAATTGCACGGGGCAGTGTGATAGGTCTTCAGCATGCCTATATACACAACTATAAGCCTTTGAATGCTGGATTCTCCTTTCTGCAGGATCCTACTGCTGCTCATTATATGTTCCAGGATGACCCTTTCCTTATGCCAAGAAATACAGCCAATTCTGTAAGTGTTTCCTTTCACGTCTGTGATAACTTCCTCCCCCCAGACTATGCGAACTCTAGCCGATGGTGGTTTTGTTCTAATTACAAAAGAAAACTATCTATTCAGAATTTTTTTTGTTTGTGTGTTTCTTAACTCATTATGATTGTAAAGATTTTCTGGATTAAAAAAAAATTGTACGAAAATACCTTTTTTTTCCTGCCTCCGTAGGGAGCTGCCAACTGCCACAGCTCTGTTAACGTTCCTGCGGGTTAGTGGCTTACCTGTTTGGTTATTCTGCTTCTCTGCCTTCATAGTCCATTAAATAAATCCAACAGTAATTTTCTCTTTAGGTGAGGCTTTCAACATGCTAAGGCTATTATTTGTGTATAGTAGCCTTATTATACACAATATTATTATAATAGCTGTGTATAGTTGTGTATAATATTTGTGCATTCTTTGGATACCGAATGTAAATGTTGTGGTGCAAGTGTTGGGATTTTGTGATTACAATTTAGTTAAGTTTGACTCAGGTGCGTGAACTGGAGCACACAAGGTCACTACTTACATGCGTGTTGCTGCATAGATACATGTTATTAGTTATCTTTCCTGGCCAAGGTCGAGGGATTTTAACGTTATCACTGAACAGCTATTTAGTAGTATTTAGATGAAAATAGAAAGAGAGGAGGAGAGGAATTTTCCCTGATGTTCTCTTTGACTAACGTTCAAGAGCGTGAAGCTGAGGCAGGAGAAAGCAGAACTGAAAAGGAGGGCAAGAAAGAAGTCTTGTGGGTGACGTTAATTATAGTGTAGCAAAGAGAAGACTGGGAGCTGAGATTTGTTGTGGTAAATCAGCGATATGGTTAGGAGAGAAGGGAACTTCAACAGTTGTTTTGCAGACTGGAGACGAGTGAAGCTACTGAGAAGTCTGAACAGAGTGGTCAAATGTGAGGCGCTTTAAAAGAAATTGTGGAAGAGGGTCAGACTTAAGAACTTGAGGAAAAGGGGTAAATGAGAATTGGGTGATGCTAATGACGCTCTTGGGAAATGACAGACAGGGAGAGAAGCTTCCTAATGCTGTGCCTCTGAGGAGAGAAGCTTTTGAGCTTGAGGTAGTAGTGCAAAATCTCAGATGTGTGCCTGAGACTAAGCCAAGGGATGAAGTTCTGTAACGGAGAAGTAAATTGCATTCTCCTTTAGATAACAGATCTCCTTACGTGGGCATAAACACTTGAAGGTTTGTCTGGAACATTGTCTCATCCGTATGTTCTTCCTAAGAGCTGAAGAGGAAGAATGAGTTAAATTTGATCTGCTCAGAATGTTCAGTGTTACGGAAACTGTTTTTCTGATTCTCAACCTAATCCAGCTTTAATTGCATGTTTCTTCATCGAACTGTTGTTCTCTCTCTTTCCTCTGCAGCGTCTGCTTTCATTGTCGAAGGAGTCTGGGAGAAGTGCTGCCAAATACATTATTAAGGAATTTCCTCAATATTTTGACAAGACAACTGCAGAGCCTAACATACCAGTAAGATTTATCATTTTAAAGACTTTCATTTTCATGCTTTCTGTGTTTTGTCGGGGAGTGAAGTGACTTGTAAGACTGGGCCCGAAACTAATGTGGAAGGATAATTTTTTGAACTGTTTTGCAGACAACTGTGAAAGAAGTGCTGTATTTTTATGAGGTTTCTGAAGTGAACGTTTCTCCTTAGGAATTCAATATTGTCTCAGGCTCTTTATGAAATGGGAGAGCAGGATATGTGTTCCTTTATCACAACGTGACTGATGTGGTTTGGCTGGGAGGGTTAGGAGATCATGAAAGCAGTGTATTATTGGGTGAAGAATAAACACACGTGATTAGTGTTTTAGCTATGAGAAGGCTTGAACATCTGTTTAACTTGTGCTCTTTGCTTTCAGTGTTTGATGCCTGAGAGTCTTACACCTCAGATTGAAGGAGTGAGTGAGGCAGCTCTGAAAGAGCGTATCGAGCTCAGAAGAGTAAAAGCTTCTGTAGACCTGTTTGATCAGCTCCTACAAGCAGGTATCTCTAAGCAGCTTAGAGATTTTGAGGAGGAGCTCCACTTACATTGTGCCAAAAAAATGATTTGTTAGCTGGCATGGCCTAGTGGGAGTTAGTCGCCTTGAATTACAACTGTAGAGGTGACCAGTGCATGGGTTTACACCTCGCTTGTCTGCTTGAATTTGTCTGTGAGAGCACCTAGTTTGACCCGTGCTGAACAATGGCATACCTCCCTGCTCAGTGTAACCGTGTCCATAGCATGTTTGGAGACCTCGGCCTCGTACGGAGGCAATTTCTTGGTTATGTTGCTGGCTTTCGCTGCTGAGACTGTTCTGGTGAACTAGTTCTCCAGAGTTGTTAGGCCCTCCCTATCCATTGTTTGTCTGTCACATCACTTTGGTAATATGGAAAACGAAGAGTTTTGCTGATCAAGCGGTGGATGGTACGGTGTTCTTTTTTGTCTTCTCTTCCAAAGTGGAAGAATTTTTGACAGGGCAAAACAAGACCTGTCAAGAATAGATGCAGTGTGATTGAGTAATACTCTGCCAGCAAAGGCCCTCATGCAGTGCTGTATTGGTTGATATAAGCTACATCTGTGCTGAGCATTTTGCTACTGTAGCGAAATAGCATAGCGTACCAGCTGAGTGCGCCTTCTGTGAACCTGTCCTCAATAAATGAGTCCTTATGATTTCCTCCTTAAACTGAATCTTGTCCCAGTCATGGGTGAATGAGGAGGAAGCAGTAGAAAACTCTTTAACTGTCGGAGCCTCGGAAGGAGGAGGACTCACTGTGAAGCTGAGACCTTCTCACATCTGCTAGCAGATGGAAACAAGAAGATTCCATTAAATTACTCTCTTCACTTGTTGGGTTGAAATACATTTCATAGGAAAGTGAATCAACCAGGGGTCTTCACAGCAGGTTGTATTCTGTGAAGAGTTGGGAAAAGCACTTGAAATTTTAGTTGACTTAGGCTTTGGTTATTTCTCCCTCTTGGTTGCCAGCTGCCACTCCCCTCCACCACTTGATCAGCAAAGCTCCCCGCTTTCCGTTCGCTAGGTGGCGTCAGTGGAAAACGGGTAGTCTAGTTCAGTGTTAAAAGTGCCTTCTAATGTGACTGGGTTTCTGAAAGTGTTGATTGCCCATGCAGTTTTTACAGATTTGCTAGAAAACATCTTTATGTCAGAAGAGAGCAAAGTGGCATAATTTGATGTTCAAAAGTATGCTGATATGCTGTAGAATTAATAGCATATTCTCTATTTTCTCTGTTAACTGTTGTGCATCCTCATTTTTTGTAGGCACCCCTGTATCTCTGGAGACCACAAACAGGCTTTTAGATTTGTTATGCTTCTATGGAGATGGAGAATCTGCTCAGGAAAAACAACAAGAACAAAAAGGAGCTGTGGAAGATCCAGAGGTACGAAAAGCCTGTTCTATTATTTCTGTCTTAAGTAGTGCAGAAACGTATTGAGATTATGTGCTGTGACTCCCTGGAAGATGGGGTTAGATGGGTCAGGTGCTGTATCTTGAAGGGATGTTCATTGCAGTTGTGAAAGTTCTGTGTCTGATCTGTTAGCACAAGCAGTTTTCCTAAAGCTGAACTTAACAGCTGGAACCCTGCCAGTTCTGCTGAACTGTGTTTAAATAGCTCTTTCCCACTGACACTCGTGTTTTTATAGGCCATCTGCAAAGAAGACTTCTGGTATCTCTAGGGTAATTCAGCTGGTTTATTTTCTTCCCGTCTGAACCCTGGTAACTTGGTTTTAGTGAGGACGGGGGTTCCCTGTGTGACCTCAGAATAGCAGTTGATCAAGTACAGCAGTAGATATGTTACACAATACTTATCCCTAGGTAAATTTTTGAGGGGAAAGA